GTCATTGCTAATGGCGAAATTCACGAACGTCGGTAACCCCTAGCCCTAGCCTATTGCAGATATTTCGTAGGTGGATTAACATAGACTGTACACCAATATATGTATGTATGTATAACAAGGGTCACTTGATTAATGAATATTCAAGAGATGAGTTGAGCGGCTTCAACGTCATGCATGCGATTGGCAAGAGATTGCCAGCGCAAATCGTAAGCAGACGCGCTAACACACACATATGTGTTACACATACATTGAGATGGCAATTCATACAATGCATTCATTTGAACGCAAGAAAACTAGGTCATACGTTGCACGGGATGATAACGCGAACTGTGACTCTGAACATTATATATTTATTTCTATTTTAAAAGTAAGCTGGAAATAACAGTATAGTTAAATAGATTGAAATACATATTTGTGGTAATAATAATAAAAACGCATGACCCGAACCGAGATCAGTGAGAAAGAACCTTTTTCTGTAAAGAATACATATTTGTGGTAATAATAATAAAAACGCATGACCCGAACCGAGATCAGTGAGAAAGAACCTTTTTCTGTAAAGTTCGTTAAAAAAGTAACCAATTTATAATAACATAATTAAACCAAGGTTAGTGGCGTGATGGGCAGACGAACTCGTTTTCAACTGATTACTGAAGCCCACAGATATTCTCATAACATTACAGTTGTGCCGATAGGTTAAGCATGCTTTTATATTTCCTTCATTAATAAACGATCAACCTGACCACCGTTGATTAAGGACACCGGTAGCAATACAGGCAAAATCAAACAGGTGCAAATCCCTGAGGTTTATTCAAACCCCATTTGATATTTCAATAGCGTGAAAAGGAAATCCATTCTAGACCAGGATGTCGACAAGATAATTGACGTTTTCCGTATTAATTCAAATAAAGACAAGATGTTGGTTTAAGAGGTCTGCGATAGTCTTCCTTGTAAAGCTTAACGCATCTTTGCCGCTCAGAGTTCGTCTGAGGTCATGTGAAGGAAATCGATATTTTGACACTCGCAGGGAAAACCAACAAATTTTTACCAAAATTATACGTCGATAAAGCCACAAGTCTATAATATGTACCTATTATTGCCCTTTTTCTTTGATGCTATTATTACACTGCCCCAATCCGTTCTCATTGAACAAGCCCGGTGGTTTTTATTCACAACTAACTATACTGAGACCTTAGAACTTATATCTCAAGGTGGGTGGCGTATTTGCGTTGTAAATGTCTATGGGCTGCAGTAACCACTTAACACCAGGTGGGCTGTGAGCTCGTCCACCCATCTAAGTAAAAAAAACAACGTTATAGTTTTTACAGTGAAAATATCTTTGCTCACGAAAGACAAAAAAAGATACATTATTATACAAGGCTATTCCTTGCCGGTGTCGATTTTTATATTTTATGTATTAAATCTCTCGTATTAGTAGTATACCTAACATGTTGAATATATTGTGAACGGGGCCTCTTTGGATTTGATTTGTATTTCATGAATAAAATAAATGTAACAAATAAATACCTTTTTAATTCAGACCTATCCTTTTTTCGACCACGTGCATCAATCATATGCCTTCGAATGCAAAATAAAATGTAGGTAACCATACGAGCAAAAGATAAAAATGCAAAGCTGCATTCAAATCCCTAATTTTTTTTCCGTGTAATACGCCCACTGTATGTAGGTATGTACTACATATGTATGACTCTTTGTACAAATCTTATTTAGCAAAAAAAAAAAATGGAAAGAGAAATTGCTTTTTGTAATAACTGCAGTGACATATTTTCAGTAATTAATGTTTACGAGCTTACGAGTTTACGAGGTCGATTCCATTTTTCTGAAAGTATTCCTTGTAAAGTCAAAACACTGCCATGACAATGAGTGTACCAGGCTTAAATCTGGAGAAATGGTGAATGTTCGTGAGGTGCTTAACATCTGCCTATAGCAATAATACTGACTGACGACCACGATCACTCCGATAAGAGTGATACGACAAAGAAGAATATGAATGTACTTTAAATAGGAGCTTAGCTTGTATTGAATACGCTGCCTTACGTAACATAAGGTTACGTTTTTTGTGTAAATAAATTCAGAGGCTTTTAAACATAAAAGTCATATCTATTATATAATACATATTATACCACAATCTTTTATTTATTTTGGGCGATATTTGACGCTAGATTAGGGTATAGTTTTATTGCATTCAATTCAATTAAAACATCCAATGATTTCATACTTTACTTTTATTTCAGATCAATCAGATCCAATGAAAACGGAATCAACTGTTATCGCCAAAATCCCTGCTCGATCCCCTCCCGAAGAGGGTGAGTGATTCAAATTAGTATTAAAAATTTAAGAGCTCTCAATATTACAAACATAATAAGGTTTCCATTTTATGAAGGTCTGGCACAAGGAAACGAACGCTGATCGGATTATGTTATAGATTTTTTTAAATCAATTTATTTTAAGAAAAAAAAGGAACATAAATTGTTATTTTCATAATAGGATAAAAGCTCTGACTTTAGCAAAAATAGTCACCGCTTTTTTTTTTTAGAATATAACAAACTTCGAAAACATTTTTCTTTTGGTTTATTGGTGATACAACGTACAGTAAAATCCGCATAAATACCTACCACCATGTTATTTATTTCTTACCATTTCCCAACGTGGATTTGAGTTCGACCTGTTTTCTAATGCAATAAAAGTTGTTAAATTAACAAGTATCTTAAATCGGAATTCTCTCTAGAAGCTTTTTAACTACCTGCCATTGACCTCAAACTCTAGCTTCACTATAACCGGTGGGCGAGTTCACGGGGCTCAGCCTGAGAGAGTTTGCTAACCTTTGTTCTAGTAACAGTGGTGCTGTGCCGAATCTACCACCGGATGGATTCATGTACAGTCCACTGAGAAGATCCGGCGAGTAATTGAGTTGAGTGGGTTGTGTCTTCAGATTTAGTTGCATGTCGAGTTCTTCGTCGCATTCGAAGAGAACAGTGTCCGGTGTTTGGAATGACTAAAGACATCCAGAGTGGATCGAAATGATCCGAAAGATAATGTGTGAGGCGATGGTAGTTATTCGCTGTCCCGTCCTCTGAGTCGAGTAGAAATATCCGATAACTATATTATTATATACCTGTTATAATATGTCTTACTAGGCCATCGATCGGCCACCCTAAATTAATATGATAATTAACAATAGTACAGTCTTGTTGATCTAATAAGTTCACATTCTCAAATATTACGTTAATAACTATGACAGTAAATAAGATTCAGGTATTGCTAACATATTGTAAAAGCGCCGTTATTATTGCCGTACTTAAAAAAATACAAATGTAATATTAAGAGATTGAGTCCGTACTCAAATGCCTACAAGGGAAATAAAAAAAAAAGAACCAAACTCAAAACCGTTTTTACCACAACGATTAATTAAAAATCTCGTTCACGATTTTTTGGGGCTCTATGAAATGAATAAAAAAACCTTACACACATTACCATGTATTTGACACACACACACACACACATGCATTTATACTTTTATTGTTTATTGATTTATCAATCTGTGGTCAAATTGAGAATAGATTAGTATTTTTTGTCTTTAATATTATTTTTCTATAATGTAGCCTTGGCGACATAGAGCAATGATTATTATAGAAATGATGATAATAGAAAGGTGACAATAGAACTATAATAATGTTCAAACTTAAAATTGAAATAAATTATGGTCAAATTTCGACCACTGGACTACCATTAGTAGATAATAATAAAATCATTTATTGCCTTTCACACAGATTTAGATTATTACAGGCAGCCTACAAGGAAACAACAAAAAACAAAACACTATTATATCATTTCTGGCAAGCAGCTCAACATTTGCACTTGTATATTATTAATAGGAATTTTATTAAGAATATTGACAATNGCACTCGCACAAATGTCATTCGTGGTACTCATTTCGATAAAATTACTCGGTTACGAGATCACAACGTTAATATGAACTCGCACTCACAAAATAACACCGGGTACGTTTGCCGCTAGGGGCGCTGTTCCAATTGCATACAAATTTGAGCAAACTGGCTCGCTATCGAGAGCGTTACAAAACTCGCACTAAGCACACTGATTTTTCGAAAGTTACAGCATTACCTTTCATTTTTATTGGAAACGATTTTGTTCCACCGGATGTTCGACACTGCAAGTCATGCCATAAAAATTCGATGCAAGTCAAGACGGTGGTCTTTGTCGAATTGGTCGAATTTTTATTTCAAGAACTCGTATATAAATTAGGTCTATTATAGTTAGTGGTGATAGCAACATTTTTAACGGATAGATGCCACTATATTATCCGGCAGTCGAGAGTTCCCACATTAACATGTCAAACTTTTTTCAAGTGTAATTTTAATTAATATGCTTTTAATTTCTAATTACAGCTTAATAATTGAAAAATAAAAAGTCAATAAGACAATGAAAGAAGGCTCTGAAAGTTGATCTACCTTTTTTCAAAGTGAACCGGCTTAAAATCTAATCTACTATATTCTCTTTAAAGAGACATACCTATGTCAATTATTATTATCCTCTTTATGTTTGACGTTAGTACCGCCATTAGTACAATATGGAACTGTCAACGAATAATAACGAAAACAGTAAAAAGTATTTTTTTTATTGCTTCGATGGATGGACGAGCTCACGGCTCACCTGGTGTTAAGTGGTTACCGGAGCCCATAGACATCTACAACGTAAATGCCGTCACCCACCTTGAGACATGAGTTCTAAGTCTCAGCTTTTACAATATAACGGCTGCCCCGCCCTTCATACCGAAACGCATTACTGCTTCGCGGCAGCAATAGACAAGGTGGTGGTACCTACCCGTGCTGAATCACAAGACATCCTACCACCAGTTAAAGTATTTGAAACATCGGAAATAATATAATGGGAATAAAAATGCGAAAATAAACTGTAAAATGAGTATAAATTTGAATTTGAATTTGAATAAACACACATGTTAGGTTCAATAATCACGCAAGTTTTGATCAGCAGTATTTTATTTATTCAAAACAGGACTTAATGTACCAATTTCAAAACATTACCAAGGTATTTCAGTACCGTCATATTGTAAAAACTTGCCACTGTCAGCCTCTCCTAAGTTCTCTATGGTATTGAAAATTCCCGCAACGCTCGAGTCAACGTCTAAGGGAGCGTTTTTCCCGCCCATGTCGGTCTTAACCCAGCCGGGATGCATACAAGCAACGAGGATGCTCTCCTTCTTCAAGTCGATGCTCATTGATTTCGTTGCCGCGTTTAGCGCCGCCTGTAAATGATGATTTTGGAAAATGTTTGTATAAAATTCTAAGACGAGAACGTATTACAGTAGATTGGGGGCAATAGGGGCTAGAGGTAAAATAGGGACAAACCTGGGATGTCACAATACTTTTGTTGTGTTGTTAGATTTAACTTTGTTGAACTGAAAATGACTTTTACTTAGTGTTTAAGAATATTAAATAGCTTAATTTAGTCATCAAGGTTTTGTAACTCATTAAAAAGTTAATTACCTTAAGTGAAGTACCTACCTAACAATTAAATAGTGGCAGCTCTATCGAAAAACTATTGTCCCCATACGTAACCTGATCCATTCAAAGCCAAGGTGAATCGGGTCAAGCGAGTTTTTTCAGTTTTTGTGTATATTTTGTAATGAACTATGTACAATAACGCATCGTATATAAAAATTTAAGCCTCCGGAACCATTTAGTCTCAATTTTATTGGTATTACCATAAGAAAACCACTGAAAATTTGTGTTGGATTAGGAAAGGGTACCGATTCCCCCCAATTTACGGTACGTATTAAAAAGTATTTCTAAAATGAGCACTCATTTACTCAACAGCGTTTATTATGTATGATCATATTAGTGGCTCACCTTTGAACATCTGTAGGGGTAGAAGCCGCCTTGATCATTTTGCGCTATGGAACCAAGCACAGAGCTCATGTTGATGACGGCGGCTCGCTCTACTCCCACTGCCTCGCCACTGTAAAGCTCGGCTGCTCGCTTCAATAGTGGCAGCAGACTCTGGTGGAGTGACAGATTTTTTGTTTACTATGGAAAGTAGTAATTGAAAATTTTGGTGATAAAGAACTTCTTAAGTACAGTGCAGTGAGTTAGAAAACACTGTAACCAATATATGAAGGAGTTGTTCGACTCTGTTAATTTATATAGGTAAACAGAGCAATAACTGTTTAGCACCTGTGACAGAGAAATTGAGAAGTGCGCGTTTGGGATGGTATGGACATGTGATAAGACGAAATGACAATGAGTTTGGTAAGAATTTTTAACTATGAGTGTGGAAGGCTTTAGAGGAAGAGGTAGACTTAAGAAGAAATGGATGGATTGCGCGAAACTAGATATGTGTAAGAGGGGAGTCAGCGAAGAAATGATTATGATAGAGGAGTATGGAAGGAGAAAATATGTTGCGCCGATCCTAGGTGACACGCTGACTCTAAGATTGACCCGCTGACTCTAAGATTGACCCGCTGACGCTAAGATTGACCCGCTGACGCTAAGATTGACCCGCTGACTCTAAGATTGACCCGCTGACTCTAAGATTGACCCGCTGACTTTAAGATTGATCCGCTGACTCTAAGATTGACCCGCTGACTCTAAGATTGACCCGTTGACTGGCGCCCACGAGGCCGTCTTTGTTTTTATATCACTCTACACTGCTTGTCTAAGCAAATTAGCGCAGTGATGAAAGAATATAACACGTGCTGCTTGTTCAGCACATTAACAGTATACCAAAAGGATATAACAGAGCGAAACTTATGAGAGAATTTGAGTTTTTGCCGGACCTCTAAAAATGTTGACTTACCTTAGTGAGCATGATCGGTGCAACAGTGTTCACCGTGAGGTTGTCCATCAGCTGCTCGGTCTTCACCAGCCCCAGTTTAGTAAATTTGGTTGTTATACCGGCATTATTGATTAACAGATTAAGTCCTTGGTCTCCGACGATATTTTTTATCTGTGCCGTCAAATTATCGTAACCAGAAAAGTTTGTGACATCTTGAATATAAAATATACGAAATATATTAATACGTGAAGCAAAAACTTTGTATCCCTTTTTACGATAATTGCGCGGACGGAGGAGTATGAAATTTTCTACACTTATAGAGAATATAGAGAAGAAGTGCACAATGCTAATTTTTTTTTTAAATAATGCTTAAAAGATACATTAAATCAATAAAGAAAACATTACACACACTACATACCATGTACAGTCAAACCTGGGTAAGTGAGAACTGGATAAGTAAGAAAACTCTATAAGTGAGAGTAATAGCAAGGACCCGTCATTTTAAGCTCCCAAAACCTCTATTAGCGAGAAACAGAAACCTCTGTAAGAGAGAGTCGTTTTTTCCTCATAGACCTCCGTAAGTGAGACTGCTACCTATCTATACCTCTATAAGCGACAGCCGAGCTTTATTTATATTATTTAGGAGGAACAAATGACAAAACAAATTACAAATTTAACATCTGCTATTTTATGACTCATTTTTAACTTTCGTGGTACTTCTTATCATTGTTTTTGTATTGTTTTCTCGTGAATATTGAACCTATTCTATTTCGTGGAACTAAATAACGATGTTATTTTATCGTATTCTTTTATGGCATTATTTTCGAATGGACACGTGTGCCTGTGTACCGTCCTGTTTGTCGGACTTATTCAGTTTATCGTTAATCAATTGCGAAGGAAAGTTCTGTTCTGCATCATGTAAAAACGGAAAATTAAAGTACAGTCAAAATCTGTTATAACGACATCGAAGGGACTGCTCATATTCAGTCGTAAAAACCAATAGTCGTAACAACCGGTGATGTTTAATGTGTATCGTGCAAGTACAAACAAATCGATAGGGAATTATTGGAAAAATATATTTATATAATACGCGATTTTTCTTTAATATGAATTTGTTTTATTTTTCTTTGCGACATTTTGAAAGTTTCACGAATAACTCCACAAAGTTTTGGTGCGTCTTGTGTATAGATAAGTAACAAACTAACTGAAGAGATATGAAGAAGCGGGCTTTGACTACCGCATGCACGTGTTTTGTTTCTAAGAATTAGAAAAGACCCTATACTAAACTAAATTCTATTGTTTTCTTTCCTGATTTTAAAAGCCATTGAAGACAAATGTGGATACCTATTCAAATTGTTTACAATACAGCTTAGCCGGTCGTTCTAACAGATCTAATTCTCCGAAATATTAGTTAAATGTGGTCGTTTTATGAGGTATGTCGTTATTACCAATGTCGTAGAAAGCAATATTTTTAATAAGGCGGTCATATGGCATTCAGNACGCCCATGTTGAAAAGTTTGAAAATCAAACCGTTGTGCCAGACTTTGTCGAACGCTTTTGCGACGTCGAAGAAGAGGGCTCCCGTATAGATCGGTTTTGGTCGGTTAAGTCCTACAAGAATGTGCTCCGTGAGGCGGTGCACCTGTTGTACGCATGAGTGATTTGTACGGAATCCGAATTGTTCATCGATGAGAATGCCCTTTGATGAGACGAAGTCTCTGAGGCGTTTGTAGAGCAGACGCTCATACAGTTTGCCCAGAGACATGAGGAGGCTAATCGGGCGAACAGGTTTGACTGTATTTGACGCACACACGCATGCATACTATTTATTGTCAAACTTTTGTTCTTGACGTCTGTTGTCAAATTGAGAATGGATTAAATATTGTTTGTCTTTATTAATATTTTTTTATAGTGTAGCTTTGGCGTAATTTGTGATTATAGAAGTATAAAATACAATCATAATAGTGTACAAACTTACAATTCCAATTAATTATAGTCGAATTTCGACTACTGCGGGACCTCTAGTACGAATTAAACGTACCTAGTTAATACACTTATTATTTAAGAGTGAATATAATTATGGAGTTAAATATATGTTGCAATGCGAGGGTTAAAAGCTATTTGGTTTATGAGACATTTTTGAAACTTTACCGTAGATCCGTTTGAAGTTTAAAATTTGGAAACAATACCATAAAAAAAACTTCTTCAACTGTTTGAATGGAGTATTAAACTTAATTGAAGTTTAAAAAACATCGGACTATTGATGCTCGCTCGTAGTCACTCATTGTGGACTTAATGCAGGGATTCGGACGAGAAAATAAAGTTCTTGATATTTTAGTTTTACTAAGTTTTTACTCGAGTTTTACGAATGATCCTGACACATAAAACATATTTTAGGTTAATTACGATCAATTCATTAACAAGGTCGAGCGCAGTCTGCACTTTCATTTCACTCTTAGCCCGAGAGCCCGTGGGATCTACCTGTATGTATTTGACCAGACCTGAATTTTCGTACATTGAGACCCCTATACCTACCATGCATGAGGTGGGGACTCACTAAGCTCAAAGTGGTCGACGCGCCGAGCGCTCAGGTAGGACAGGTACCGATTTTGACGGATTTTAAATCCATTTGACCACGTCTGCCGTTTTGAAATTTTGAAAATATATGATTATTATTATCGGAAAATAAGAATGGCAGACCATTATCGCGCATTTTACTTTGTGGCAGACCACTTTGAAAATGCTAAATTGCATTGAAAATGCAAAATTTTGAAAGTAATTGACTAGATCTGCCATTGATTTAATAATATGTTGTTTATTATAGTCTTAAAAACTTATATTGATCACGGCAGACCTCTACATTGCGTACATACATCAACATATAATAAAATCTTAGCTACTACCCGGCCAGATGTATATTATGTTTTCCGTTCACTGTTTTAGAGGAATATAATTTACTTGCGATTTACTTTAGCAATGTATTTACCGAAATTAATATTTTTTTATATTCTATATACTAAACTTCATTAGTTAGACAATAAAGAAGTGAATTTTTTATGGAATAATTATAAATAATACGGTATAATGCTGATCAAAAAATAATTCAATTCCTCATTTTTATCATTCAACATTTAACTTGCCAGCTATACAATGCCAAAAAATCTAGTGATGTAGATGATGGAAGGTTCCAGCTATTCGTTAGCAACTATAAATATTCAGACATCAATGAAAATTATAGAAAAAAAAATCAAAAATTTGAGGCAAGCTCAATACCACCGCATAAGAGTGAGCTTTATCAACAACTTTTGAGGGCCCACTATATTTCTTCTATTTGGAGAAATGCTTACAAAAAGCAACTCACAACTTTAGACCCATTGGAGTATGGTTGGATTGAGCAGGACAACATATATGCCTTCAAAGGGTTCGAAGGTGACCAACTTCCATATTTTGTGAGTGACTTAATCACCAATGTTCCTGGTAAGTTGATAACAATTCTTTCTCGAACATGTTCAGATGAATTTACGTTCATTTTACAATTTATGTTTTATTTTTGCAGTATTCGATTCAATGGTTGATGAAGACGAGTCGCCTAACGATAAAGATGACTCCGATGATGATGATGATGAATGAAGATTGATATATATATATAATATGTAATGCATGCATGATATATTTTTTTAACTGATTTAACACTTTTAAATTTTGTCTTGACGAAATAAAAATGAGGAATTGAATTCTTTTTTGATCAGCATTGTACCGTATTATTTATAATTATTCCATAAAAAATTCACTTCTTAATTGTCTAACTAATGAAGTTTAGTATATATAATATAAAAAAATATTAATTTCGGTAAATACATTGCTAAAGTAAATCGCAAGTAAATTATATTCCTCTAAAACAGTGAACGGAAAACATAATATACATCTGGCCGGGTAGTAGCTAAGATTTTATTATATGTTGATGTATGTACGCAATGTAGAGGTCTGCCGTGATCAATATAAGTTTTTAAGACTATAATAAACAACATATTATTAAATCAATGGCAGATCTAGTCAATTACTTTCAAAATTTTGCATTTTCAATGCAATTTAGCATTTTCAAAGTGGTCTGCCACAAAGTAAAATGCGCGATAATGGTCTGCCATTCTTATTTTCCGATAATAATAATCATATATTTTCAAAATTTCAAAACGGCAGACGTGGTCAAATGGATTTAAAATCCGTCAAAATCGGTACCTGTCCTACCTGAGCGCTCGGCGCGTCGACCACTTTGAGCTTAGTGAGTCCCCACCTCATGCATGGTAGGTATAGGGGTCTCAATGTACGAAAATTCAGGTCTGGTCAAATACATACAGGTAGATCCCACGGGCTCTCGGGCTATCTAGACCCTGTATAGGTTTGTTTTGTGTCTTCTTGATCAATTGTAGGTAGTCATGATTCGGATTCAACATATACTTGTATTGTGAGACACTGAGGTCGTTGGGTATTTTGTGTGAGCTCTTAATGCGTCGTACCCTGCCTATTTCTTATGGGGAATTCCTCATGCGGCCCAATTTGAAGTGTGGGACCATTGAGACTTTAACCTCCTGTCTAACAGTGGGTGGCGGAATTCGCCTTGGGATGTCCATGTGTTGAACTAACCACTTAACATCAGATGAATCGTGAGCTCATCTAAAAATCTGAGCAATAGATTTAAATTTAAAAAAATTAAATCAATATTTGGTGACATAAACTAGAAAATCTATTTTAATATTATAATTAAGTAAATATGTACCTAAATGTAATATTGTTACATTATGATTTTTCTCCGACAATTGTTTTAGTTCCTGTAAAAAGAAAAAAAAAGATTATTCGTAACTCGTTAGTTAATGTGGTCACTGAACACATAACTGACTAACATACAACGGGGGCCCATTTATTCCTGATGATATATTTAGCATTCGTCGTCTGACTAAATCTGTTATTTTTTGGTAGGTACTTAAATGTTTTATGCGTCCATAGGGTAAAATCCTACGGTACGCGTGTGAAAACTTAAATGTTTTTTAATATTATCAAATCTAGCAATAATTAAAACAACTTTTACGATTTGATCTCGGGTTCTTTATTGTCATTATATTATTACCGAATGCTTCACAGTTTTCGTGGCACAAACGACTAATCTGTTGTTCGTCGACATTTGAATGTAGTGCGGACTGATCACATAATGATAAGAAAAGTCTTCGTGGCCTAAAGGATAAGATGTCCGGTGCATTCGTATGTTGCGATGCACCGGTGTTCGAATCCCGCAGGCGGGTATAATTTTTTCTAATGAAATATGTACTTAACAAACGTTGACGATTGACTTTCACGGTGAAGGAATAACATCTATATATATATATATTTGATGTGTCCCCCGTCGAACTGATTCCTTTTGTTTATTTTAAGTTTATTTTATAAAAGTTTAGGTCTTTTATTTATCGACTGAGGCATTACGAAGTCTGCCGGGTCAGCTAGTCGTGTAATAAAAAATCAACCCGTAAAATTATAATTTGCGTAGTTACTGGTGGTAGGACCTCTTGTGAGTCCGCACGGGTAGGTACCACCACCCTGCCTATTTCAGTCGTGAAGAGTAATGCGTTTCGGTTTGAAGGGTGGGGCGGCCGTTATAACTATACTAAGACCTTGGAACTTGTATCTCGGGGTGGATGGCTCATTTGCGTAGTAGATGTCTATGGGCTCCAGTAACCACTTAGCACCAGGTGGGCTCTGAGCTCGTCCACCCATCTAATCAAAAAAATATAATTTGTGACTCATTCTTGCCTACGAATATTTTATGGCGTTCTAAGACTAGAACTTTAGTACGAATTAGCTGAGCGTTTTGTATTTTAACCCGCGGATGTCTATCTTTAAGGTTTTGTCACATAGGCACCAAGATGTAATCTGCATATTTAGTCAAATCTGTATATTATAAGTATTATAACGGTAGGCGGCGGTTTGGCTCTGCTCCTGGAATTGCTGACGTCCATGAGCAACGGTGACCACTCACCATCAGGTTGGCCGTATGCGCGTCTGCGTAAGCAGCGTGTAAACGGGCAATAAAAATAATAATAAGCTTGCTTGTGACCCGCAAAATAAATNCCAAGATGTAATCTGCATATTTAGTCAAATCTGTATATTATAAGTATTATAACGGTAGGCGGCGGTTTGGCTCTGCTCCTGGAATTGCTGACGTCCATGAGCAACGGTGACCACTCACCATCAGGTTGGCCGTATGCGCGTCTGCGTAAGCAGCGTGTAAACGGGCAATAAAAATAATAATAAGCTTGCTTGTGACCCGCAAAATAAATATTCCAATGAAACTCGAAACTGGTACTACATAAAAATCAGCCAATTCCGATTGCAACCTTTAAGCATGGTTTTAATAAGAACATTATTACAAAATTGTTTATATTGACAAAAAATTATGTTAAACCGATTTTAATTCTGCTGGAGGAATGAAATATAGATACATATTAGTGGGCGACATTTACGTTGTGATTGATGCCTATTGGCTCCGGTAACCACATCTGATAATACACTGCTCGTTCTAGCGCTAAGACCTCTAGAATATTATTAAATATAAAAATTATGCGCCTTCAAAGTTTTCAAGAAAGTTCAATATTACGTCTCTTTTTTTTTTTTTTTTGATTGAAAGTTTACTGGTGGCCCGGAGGCCTTTCCAGTTTCACCAGGACACGTGGGCGAGCAAAGGCTCAGCCAGGAGGGGTGGGATTTGCTAACAGCTACCCGAGCGCCTCCGAAGGAGACCTAACAGCTCAAGAGTAGCTGCTTCGCGAATGAATCTACTACCGGATCGGAATCGCGACCCGCTGAGAAGATCCGCCGAGAAACTCAGCGAGCTGATTCATGGGTTAGGTTGCACGGCGAACTCTTTGTCGAGTTCGACGAGTACGGTTACCGAGGTCCCTAAGCCTGCTCCTAGTGTTAGAGCTGAAGGTGTCTAATGCAAAGGTTATTGGATCTGATGGATCCGTAAGGACGTGTCTAGGGCTATTACGTCTCAAGGTGGGTACTAAACTACAAGCTTGGGAGCCTATTTAAACAATTACGTAGGTACGTCTATTTGCTTCCGGCCGTAATTGATTGCCCACCTCAGTTAAATAAAAAAAGAACTAGAATATTAAAGAGCAATTATGCGTGGCGTTCAACTAAAGTATTTTTCATAGGTAGGTACATAAAACGGTACATTTACTTAAATACATGAGACCAACTCTCAAAACATTAAAAGAACATTACAAAAACCAAAAGCATAACTTGATACATTTTCATCAATACGGTAATGAGGTCATAAAGTATGTAGGTATTGTGTGCTATGGTATGGTTCTAACATTTTCATCATGATCACACAAAATGTGAAACGTCATTCTCTTTTCCAATATCAACATGACGTCAGCTGTCATAAAGTATAGGTATTTTTCGTCTCTTTCGCGCATCAATAAAACTAGTTTGCCCGGTGACGGCTCGAGTACTTGGCCGTGAGATTTGTTGTATTGTAGTTAAATTTTAAAGATTCTTATTGTTTCGTGTTAATATATTTTTGTGATAGTGAATTGAACAATTGTTGCAGAAATGGCACCTGTCGGTAGGTTATTTGTTTTTTTATTAGCGATCAACCTACCTCGGATTCGTTTCGGCAAGTTGCGATAATTCTCTGCGACTTTTTGCAGTGAGTAAGATATTTCACCATACCAAGGCCGAGGCCTCTGTTGGCTCCTGTGATGAGCACTGTCTTCATCCTTGATTCTTAACCGACTGATTCAACTCTTAATAGTTTCTTGACGTTTGATAGAAAGTTATCGTCAACCCTGATTTAACGAGGTAGTTTATTTATTTGTTGTCTCTGTCATTTATTGTTGTCAGAATGACAATCCTGAACAGCTTATGCAGGATAAATAATTTGTTTAAGCCGCTTAAGTTAAGCGAAAATGTGTTTCTGGTGGCAAGGCGTTCGCTGGCCAGCAGTAAGTACTCGTAATAGCTTTGTCCGTAGCCTTGAGGCGAAGATAATTAACATAACCTCATCGCGACTAACAAAATCCGTGTTTTTTCCTTTAAAAAAAATACGATTTGCACCCGTTTGTGTTTGTGGTTGATATGCTCGCATATAACTGGTCTTTAGCACTTTTTTGTGTGGCAATGGTGAAATATCATACACAATTATTACACAATTTTTGTACACATTTCATTTTCAATTGAAAATCATTCTTATATACCTATATTAAAAGTTTTATTAAACTTGACCATATGAATAGTAAAATTAATGAAGAATAATGAGAATATTCATAAAGTATTGATAATTTGACAATAATATACTCATATCCAAAATTTCCTGGTCAGGAGGTTGGATGTGTTGTAGCCGTAAAACCAAGTCAGTAGCACCGCTAGAAACGACAAAAGTAATCCCAGTAGACAATATACCAGGTATCTCATATTTTTCTCTGCACATTCACTGCTGTTGCAATGGGGAATTGGTTATGCAGCCTTCATTGCTCAGAGAAAACCAGAATACATTATCGAAGAGCACACTGTTAATTCATGTGGAGTTTTGTTCTATGGTATTGAAATGTATATGTATGTCCAACTATTGTGTAAAACTTATTGGGTAGTAAAAGTTAAATGGTGTTGGTGTGACTTTATCAATTTAACTTACTGACCTCATACTATTTTGTTACTGCAACTTAAGAGCACATTTAAATAGGCTAGTAGACTGATTTTTCATCTAATCTTAAAACATGCTCGAAAATATGAGTCATTTTATGAATGACAGAGATCAGGAGCTTTTTTTATTGGACTTGTAGGCAGAGAGGTTACAGCCCATTTGATGGCGAGTAGTCACTGCAGCCATTGGCGTCAGCAATGCCAGGGGCAGTACCAAGCTATTGCCTACTGAATAAAAGTCATGTAGTCACACATTGGGCCTATTCTAACATATCACTCACAAAATAAAACTTAAAATCTTCCTATAAATAATTGTCAACATCTTAGAACATGTGGTGAGGCTTATTCAGACAAATCGAATATATGTGTTTACTGTTATGCAATTTTATCAGCTATGCCAGGGTACAGCGAAGCCTTCAGATGTTTTTCTTTGACTTTATTATAAATTTAACAAATTCGGGAAGCAGAACTCATTTTAATAAATATAAAATCAGTCATCTACGTAGTTGTATCTATAATACACTACAAGAACTATGACTTCTATAAACTTTGGGCTATCCATTAGAGTAAAATTCTGGTGATCATAACATAGGCGGTTTCATGCGGTTTGTGGTTTATATATCAAATGGGAATATACTTTTAGTGTGGTGTTAATATTAATTACATAACTAATTATATCATTATCTTAAAGTTTTTAAAACATATACAGGGTGTCCCAGAAAGAATGGATAGTCCTGAAACACCTCATAGTAGAACAATTGGGGACACAAAATAAAAAAGTTCTCAGGTAGTACCCGAATTACATATTTAAAAAAAATTGTTGATATTTTCCATACTGCTTTGCGTTTTTGGAATATACAACAGCTACAAATAAATGAAATCCATAGGCTTTTTGGTGTTATAATATTCTACATGGACTACCTAAGAAATATTTTTTTTTATTTTTTATTTTGAGTCCCCATTAACTCTACTATGAGGTGTTTCAGGATTATCCATTCTTATACCACCATGTATAAATAGAAATATTTCTCAGTAGCATTTTGTGTGTTACATGTTCCATTGTTTTTCACATGTATTATTAAAAGAGTATTTTAAAAACAATATGCAAAAAAAAACCCTTTAATATGAAGTAAAAATGGCTATGCCCATTTTGGACACTAAAGTCAAAAAGTGTTTTAAATTATCTCAAATTTGTTTCAAAGCACTATTAACTTTTCGATAGTTATAATTTCATAGAATTTTGTATGATTCTGATATAAGATGCAAGTTCAGAATAGAGAATGTACTATTTTTATTTCAAAGGCAGATAGATGCTTACAGGCTCGAATTGTTTTGAAACCTCATTTTTATAAGCCAAAGTTGGGTGTAAATTTAATTATCTACCACATAGTACAAGCTGGTAAATGACTCATGAATTTTAACCATATTCATGTAAAGAATGTATCATATATTATATATTTATATATGCATCATTTGCGTTTATGCTTATCAATTAGTATATTATTGTTAATGTCCAATGTTGTTACCTTTTAATATTTTTTATATATTAATAAATGACAATCATGTAGTTCTATATTAACAGATTTTAAAAAATAAATTAAAAAATATCATCATTTTGTTTTTAAAAGCAATTTTGTTAAATTTTTTAAATAAAAATACCTAGTAATTAAAAATTATAAGCCTAATCAAACCAAAATACTCGTATGTAATTAAAAAAAAAAAACAGTTAATTCCTCCATCATAGTAAATTATAAAAATATTTTAGCAGGAACATACGACTATGATCTGGCTGTAATCGGAGGTGGCTCCGGTGGACTGGCCTGCGCCAAGGAGGCTGTGAACTTGGGTGCTAAAGTGACTGTGTTGGACTACGTCACACCCTCACCGCAAGGCACCAAGTGGGGCCTGGGAGGAACCTGTGTTAATGTAGGATGTATTCCGAAGAAGCTTATGCATCAGGCTGCTTTACTTGGAGAGAGCATACATGTAAGTGATTAATCTCAAAACGAACTAGTCATGGCGTGACCGTCACGTTTCTTATTATATACATAATTAGTCATTGTATTCAATAAATTTTGTAAAACTTGTATTGTGTAAATTAGTCTTAAGTGTGTTTGAGATTCCCATCGCGTAGTAGAAATCGGTTTCTAATTTTCTCATATCTTAAGTTTTCAAATACGTAGGTGTTTTCAGTTTTTTCCAAGACAAAAGTAGTCCACAACGTTTGCCTACGTTTCCCGATAGGGGCGCTGTTCCAACCGCATACAAATTTGAGTTAACTTTTACGCTATTACGAGTTAAAAAACTCTCACTAAGCACACAGATGATGCCGATATTTCTTATCGTAGATCCTTAGTCAGAGCAACGTGATTGCGAGTTTTAATCTTATTTTAATATTAAACTTTACCATTACGTGCATTGACTTTATGTGTTTTCGTAATACGTTGTTTTATTGCACGATTCTATAAATCATTTCCGATGTGATATTTAAAACGTTGTAAATCTAGAAAGTTCTATAGAGACCTGGTAAACCTCTTGGCTACCATATAAAATGACAATATTAATACAGTACTAATAATTAAGTTAGAATTTAGCTCAATTATTGATGACTGTAGTTTTGGCGAGTTGTGCTCTCTCTCACGGTCGCCAAGGTTAGCCCGATCGACCTAGGCATCCATAATTCATTGCTCTGTCGTGGTTTCTACGTAACGGTGAATGTTATTAAAATGTAATTGTACAAATCGATACTTGAATTTAACCTTGAACTAGAATTTTTAAGTTTCATCCAATAGATTTCTAGCTCTGTCGTACAAGATGGCCGCCATGGTACAGCTTGCCTGATAATTATGATAAATTTAATTTTGAACTCTGCAATGTAGAATTAATTGAGATGTAGCGTGGTGTAAAGAGATCGGCTTTATCGAGACGCCCTGTGATATCGATTGGTGCTGTAGCTATCATAGAATAGAAAATATGTGACAGATGCCTCAATCGTGTTAACGACATTTACCAGACAAGCTTGAATTGCAGGTCTGTGCCATCATTAAGTCCGTTTCTCTCGTAAAGTAATTGTAAAAATTCATTTTGAAATGGTTGATGGCGACGCTCACGCTGTATTCTCCAGAAGTTTCTATTCGAATATTAAATCTGAAGAAATGTTGCTTTCCTACTTTATAAAAACTTACGATGGAAAATTTCTGCGATATATAATATAATTTTTTATCTCTAGTTTTTATATGTCGGTAATTAGTTCGAGTGAAGCAAATTGAAGTGTGCCTTAATGAATATTCTCTGCAAGCGTCTTATTCTGTTCATACAAAATTAAATACATTCAACATTTCGTCATGATAATCGCCTTATCGTTGCCGCCGCTCGAATCCTGATCATGCAGGAGCCAGTCACCGTCGACGCCCTAGACACGTCCTTACGGATCCATCAGATCCAATAACTCTTGCATTAGATGCCTTCAGCTCTAACACTAGGAGCAGGCTGAGGAACCCCGGTAACCGTACTCGTCGAACTCGACAAAGAGGTCGACGTGCAACCTAACCCATGCATCAGCTCGCTGAGTTTCTCGCCGGATCTTCTCAGCGGGTCGCGATTTCGATCCGGCAGTAGATTAATTCGCGAAGCAGTTGCTCTTGAGTTGTTAGGTCTCCTTCGGAAGCGCTCGGGCAGCTGTTAGCAAATCCCACCCCTTCTGGCTGAGCCTTTGCTCGCCCACCTGTCCTGGTGAAACTGGAAAGGCCTCCGGGCCACCAGTAATCTTTCAATCATAAAAAAAAAACATTCAACATTTAAAAACTTATTATCTGTAATACAATCTTCACCTTTTGTATAAATAAAATATTTGTGGTCTGTCGTTGTGCGCGCATCACACAAAAACTACTGGATGTTTTTTTTTTGCTTTTATGTCTGAAGTAGGTACTTTGTTCTTAAAAAAAAATAAAAATAACATGATAAAATTCACAAAGTATAAAAGTTTGAATAAGCTACCACTACTACGACTAATGAACTAGGTACTATGAAATTTAACTAGTCCTTGGTAGATGACTCATATTGTGGAAACCATACGGGGACTTCTTATAGAGTTAGTCTAAAAATAAACCTTAAACCTAACGTGTACTCTGACTCGTTAGGTTTAAGGTTCAGAATGGAAATGTATTTTTTTATATAATTACAGGAAGCGGTTGCATACGGTTGGGAGGTGCCCTCACTGGACGCGATCAAGATAAACTGGCCAGCGCTAACTGAGGCTGTACAGAATCACATAAAATCTGTGAACTGGGTGACCAGAGTTGACCTGAGGGAAAAGAAAATAGATTACGTTAACGGTTTGGGTGAGTTTAAGGACCCCCACACGCTGATAGCGACCTTGAAGAATGGATCGAAGAAGGAGATCACGGCTAAGAATATTGTGATCGCCGTGGGCGGTAGACCGCACTACCCGGACATTCCTGGGGCGGTCGAGTACTGCATCAGCAGTGACGATATCTTCAGTTTAGGTCATCCTCCCGGGAAGACCCTGGTCGTCGGAGCTGGATGTATCCTTTTTATTGTGAGGAAAATACGCGTGCTTTTACCGCGCTTTCTTAAACACGATCGGTATATACATACGTGACAGATTGTTTCAAACTAGGTTTCACTAACTTTAGTCCGATTACCGTTGAAAAATTTCATTATCGTATTAGTGACAAATCTCAAATACGTTTTTTTTTATTTGTACTTAATGCCCTTGCTACGATTACTTCGATAAAAAATCCCTCTTCATTCCATTGATTTTTAAGTTTTCAATTTTTAATTAATATAGAATAAAATATATAGAACTCAACTGATTAGATTATAAAAATACTAGCGACCCGCCCTCGCTTCGCTTCGGAAACATTAAACACACATGAAACCAAAAAATAAAAAAAATAATAAAAAAGTAGCCTATGTTCATCAGGGACAATGTCGGCTTCTAATGGAAAAATAATTTTTTAAATCGGTCCAGTAGTTTCGGAGCCTATTCGAAACAAACAAACAAACAAACAAATCTTTCCTCTTTATAATATTAGTATAGATTAGTATAGACTAGCGCAGCTATATAATAGGTCCGATAGCTTATGAACCAGAGAAAGACACGCGTAACTCTTTCAACAAAAAGTGTAATAATATTAATTCTTTGTATAAAAATTGCATACACGGGCGACGCCGTAGGGCACGTCTAATATTTAAAAGACTAGTGACAGATGACTCTAAATCGCCTCTACAATTGTCACGCTTTGCATTTTGACGATCATAGCTCTCCAGTGTGTAGATTATGTTGCTGCTCATTCTCTACCGAATCCCTCGGTCACCTTACCACCCACAGCTTAGTATGGGCTCTGTCAAAAGACACACAGCCTAGCATACGTACATGGGCCGCCGGTAACTACATTCCTGATCCTGCGGATCGATTGGCAAACAGTCGACGTCGCCATAATCATATCATTTCGGCTCCTCCTGATCCACTAACCGTGCTCTTAGGTACCTAAAGCACCGGTCATCGTTCTCGTCGAACCCGTCGCTTGCGACAAAGGGCTCGACGAGTAAATTGAACCATAGACACAATCCACTGAGTTTTTCGCTGGATGTTTCATCGAGTCGCGTTTCCGATCTGGTGGGAGATTCTGCGAAGCACTGTTTTTGTTAGAGTTAGTGTTAGCTCAAGTTAGATCCCCATAAGCTCTCCTATGGTTACGCTGGCATAGCCTCTCAAGGTTACCAGCTTAGATAGGAAAAAAAGCATGGCAAGCATGGTCGCGTATACACATACTGCATTATCTTATCATTGTACCATGTTGTGTTGTAGGTGTACTTGCTTATCGTGCAGCCGATTGAAATTCGATGAAGGAGAAATATAAATTGCAATTTATAATAAATTTTTAAAACGTGCCTGTACGAGGAAGCATGTGCATTAATGTACATAGTGTATGCTTATATACCTTTATGTATATTTATGTGCTGAGCTAAATCATAGACATTGATTAAAAGAGGAAAACAAATAACTTTAAATTGTTTTTGAAAATATTATAGAACTATCGCAAAACCCAACATTTTGATCTAGAACATTCTGTCGGTGTAGTCATGTATTCGGACGAGTGCTTCCAATCGTTTACTGCAGCCTTGGCTTGGCTGTGATGGCATCCAAGTGCTTTGGTTATTAATTTAAATACCGATGGCGAGACGATATGCTTAGCGGCTGCAATCGGTTAAAAACAATGCCTGTGCCATTACAAGCAATGTATATTTTATTATCTCTTCACTTTTACAACTGTAATATTTTATGTACTGATTGTTGTCACGTGTACCTAACGTAGAACAGAAGATATTGATGGCAGGTTGCATACGTACAAGTCTGTCTCTCTATTTACTGGTGGAAGATCTTCCCTTTATCGATAACTGCAAATATTAATCTGTATTAAAACCACGACAGAGAATAACCTCGTAATCTCCTTGTATTTGAATTCAGTTTACAATTTCTAATATGGTCACATATGACTAAGGTCCATTTATTATGAAAACTGCGTCATTTTTCGTCCTTTCTTGTCTAAAAAAAAGGATTGTGTGGTTTTATGAAACCACGGTAAAAGTGAAACTTTTTTTCACATTATAGACATTTAACTCTGACAAACAACATTTAAATTAAACACTGACAAAAACAAACAAAATAACGTGGAGCACTGGCACAAATGAGTAATATTTTTTTTTATTTTTTTTTATTGCCCTTGTAGGCAGACGAGCATACGGCCCACCTGATGGTGAGTGGTTACTCTATTTACTACACGGTCAGCTACATATTGGCCTTGGCTGCTCTGACGAGCGCCTTTCACTTTATCCTTACTCCGCAGCCGACCGTCACGCGACATGCAACAGACAGACGAAAAAGTTTGAGACGATGTAATAAAAGTTTTACTTTAAAAACCACAAAACTGCGCGAATCCTTAACTACCCACAACAGACATCGGCTTGGAATGCGCCGGATTTTTGAACTCTTTGGGTTACCCGGCCACCGTGCTGGTCCGATCGGTGCCACTCCGCGGCTTCGACCAGCAAATGGCCCAGGCGGTAACCAGCGAGATGGAACAGAAGGGAGTCGTATTCCACAACAAGTGCGTACCGCTGTCCGTGGAGAAGCTGGAGACCGGTCAGTTGAAGGCGCGCTGGCAGAACACGGAGACCCAAGAGCGGTAAGTTTGCCGCCATGTTTTTGTTAGCGTCGCTAAATCGACGTGGGATATACCCCGACTACTCACTATCGCTGTGATTGTGCATCCTGCGTTTCCTTAGGTCTCTGTTCTCCTATACCGTCCGGTTCTAAGCTGAACTCTACATCACGACATTGGAGCACTGTTATTTTTAACATCTCAGGAACCTCCATGGATCCATGACCTAAAGGACACCCTGTCCGGTCTAGACCTTGCGGTAGGCAGTGGCTTGGCTCTGCTGCTGGCATTACTGGAGTCCATGGGCGACGGTAACCAATCACCATCAGGTGGGCCCTATGCTCGTCTGCCTAAAAGGGCAATAAAAAAAAGACCCCAAGTACTCATTGTTTGAAACGTGTTTACGGACGACTTCCACGATGAAAAGATAACGCCGCGTTATGAAATTTAAACCTGCCGATTGTATTAATTTATGTATTTACTGGTGGTACTGTGTGAGTTTACATAAACAGGTTTACCGTTTCATTACAACTGATAGAGAGTCATGCGTGTGATGAATGCGACAGTTAATCCAATTTAAATTGACCCATCGTCTTCGACTCTCAAGGTCTGCAGGATTTACACGGGTAGGTACCACCACCCCGCCTATTTCTGCCGTGAAGCAGTAATGCGTTTCGGTTTGAAGGGTGGGGCAGCCGTTGTAACTATACTTGAGACCTTCAAACTTTATCTCAAGGTGGATGGCACATTTTTAGATGTCTATGGGTTCCAGTAACCTCTTAACACCAGCTGGGCTTCGTTCACCCATCTAAGCAATAAATAAATAAAAAGGTGCCGTTGTGGCGAGACTTGGGGAGACTTGTGTCCAGCAATGGACGTCTGTGGGCTGAAGGATAGCATAGCACAGGCCAATATACCAGCTCGGGGATGCTGAAATTGGAGTATATTTATTTAATGATGTTTATGTGTCTGGTTTTGTTTCCACCGTGTCTAGGGGCGAGGATGTGTTCGACACGGTGCTGATGGCGACCGGCCGGTACGCCCTCACCAAAACCCTTAACCTCGAAGCGGCAGGAGTGACGGTGAGTCCACCACTGAGACTGTCGTTCGAACGGAATTACGCAATGTCTGGCTGAATGTTTACGTATATTGACTGATAGTTGACTCTAATGCGATTAGTAGATAAGGGATTTGTAAAGGATTTTGATTGAGTGTACATAGTTGTATTTATTGCAACTAGTGGTCCTCGCAGTAGTCGAAATTCGACTGTAATTAAATGAAATTAAAAGTTTAAACATTATCATGGTTATATTGTCAAGTCACACTGCTATAAGAAAATCACAGATTTCGCCAAAAATACACTATAGATGAATAATATTAAAGACAAACAATATTAGTCTATTCTCAATTTGACCACAGACTTTAAACAATAACAAAAGTTTGACAATTGACAATAAACAAAGAGTACATTTATATGTATGTATTGTGTCAAATACACGGTAGTGTGTGTAATGTTTTCTTTATTGATTTCATGTAATTTTAATGCATATTTTTTTTTAAATATTAGCATCATGCACTTCCTCTCTATGCTTTCTATAAGTGTGTGAAATTTCATATTCCTCCGTCCGCGCAATTTTCGTAAAAAGGGGTACAAAGGTTTTGCTTCACGTATTAATATATTGTAATAAGTAGGTGAAGGAACTCGCCGTTCGCGCGCTGCTAAGTGGCCACTGATGCCCATAGACCTCAGAACGTGCATGTCGCCGCCAGTCGTGACGCATGAGATCGAAGTTGCAATGTAATTTGTTGTAACAATTCTGAAATTTCTGTTCGATGATCCATTAACATAGACTACATGATTACTTCGCCGCAGAGATAGGCAGAATGATGACAGGATCCTTCCTACCCATCCCTAACATTATTCCTTTTTGGCTCTGGCCCTGACATTGTCAACACCCACTGGCGCTTTGAAGTCTTGAACTCCTGTAAATTTAAGGCGATTATTCAAAGATATTTGTCATAAAAATTTATTGTATATTAAAGATGCTGAGAGTTCTTACCGAGAGAACTTAAGTTGATGATAGTGTCCATGGGCTCCATACTATAATACATCAAGTTAGATTTTACTCAGTCACGGAATATGATGCCCAAGAAAGCATATTAGTTAAAGTTTGGTTTGAAGGGTGGGGCAGCCGTTATTGTAACTATAGTCAGACCTTAGAACTTATATCTCAAGGTGGGTGGCGGATTTACGTCGTAGATGTCTATGGGCTCCGGTAATCACTTAACACCAGGTAGGCGGTGAGCTCGTCCACCCATCTATGAAATCTATATATATAAAAATGAATCAGCTGTTCGTTAGTCTCGCTAAAACTCGAGAACGGCTGAACCGATTTGGAAGTCCAGAGAAGGTTTAAAAGGTAAACAAATATAAAAATGCTCGGAATTAAATAAAAATAACAATTTTGTTTTTCCTTTGATGTGTCCCCCGTCGGACGGATTCCTTTTGTTTGTTTTAAGTTTATTTTATACAAAAGTTTAAGTCTTTTATTTATCGATTTAGGCACTAGGAAGTCAGCCGGGTCAGCTAGTAAAAAATATAAAAAAAGTATTATTCGTTTTCAGTGTGTATCAAACAGCGGGAAGATCATAGCTGAAACCGAACAGACCAACGTCTCTAACATATACGCGGTGGGCGACGTGTTGGAGGGGAAGCCTGAGCTGACCCCCGTGGCCATCCACGCGGGCCGGCTGCTGGCGCGCCGGATGTTCGCCGGGGCCACGCAGCCCATGGACTACGACAACGTGGCCACCACCGTGTTCACGCCGTTAGAGTACGGCTGCGTCGGGCTAAGCGAGGAGACCGCCCTGGCCAGGTGAGGCCGACCTCCTTAAATACAATGACAACTTTTTGGCGGGAACGCGAGGAGTGAAATTGTGTAATAACGGTGGTTTATTAACTGCTTAGTATCTGTGAAAGTGCACAAATGTAGGAAAATGAAACAAAGCCGCTGAACGTAATTTCTCGGGATCTTGAAAGTCCACTGAAAAAATCTCAGTAACTGGCCACCATTTTACTGAGATTATATTTCATCTCATCTCATTTCATTTAATTTCATCCCAGTTGATTAGTGTCTCAAATTAATCATCTTCATCTTCATTTCACTCCATATTATCATTTTTCATAAAAATAAGGATATAAATTAAAATAAAACATGACTTAAAGGTCTTAGTTACCAGGTCATAAAATCCCTTTAAAAAAATAGAATGACATGCGGAAGCAAGGTCATTAAACCAGTCCTCATGGAAGACTGTGTAAAAACTAAAGAAACTAAAGTCCCTCCGCAGACCAAGACGCTCCCCGACAGTGAGACGGTCGCGGTCATTGGTAGCGATAATGGGAAGGTGGTAGTGTCCAGCCCTAACAGCTGGGTGGGGGCTGGTGGTGGGGGCGCCGTAAGCCCACGCGAGTCGGTACAGCCGGCCCTGCCTAGTTCTGGTGCAACACACAGTAGCTAATACTCGATGAACAGAACCCAATCAAGTTAATGTAAAAAAAAATTACGACATTAAAAGATTAAATATTTTCCAGAGATAACCGGTATTATTTCAAGAATTTATTTGATAAAACAGATAAGTTTTGATTAAAATGTTTAGATACCGTTAAGTAAATAAATAGATTAAGAGAGGTTTTTAAATGAGACGTCTAAAATATTTCATGTTTTTATCAATTATCCGTCTGCGTCCTGTATCAAGATACGGTTCTTATCTGTGAGTGTCTGGCCGGCGGCCCGCGCCCGCTACCGAGGTCCATAGACATCAGCCACTGCACGAATGTCATGGCTCAAATTACATAAGGGTTATATTGTCCTTTAAATTAGACCACATTATTAGTACGCGGTAAATATAGGTAGATCAGTGGCACTGCGCGGGTCCCTCCCGCTGGGGGATCGCGGAGGACTGCGGGGGAGGGGGTCCGCCCGGGTGCAGTGGGTACGTAACACCCCGTGCGTCCGTTGCAGGCACGGCGCCGACAAGGTGGAGGTGTACCACGCGTTCTACAAGCCGACGGAGTTCTTCATACCGCAGCGGAATATCCGCAACTGCTACCTGAAGGCCGTGGCGCTCCGGGAGGCGCCCCAACGTATCCTCGGGCTCCACTTCGTGGGGCCGGTCGCCGGCGAGGTCATACAGGGCTTCGCAGCTGCCGTCAAGTAAGTATACCCACAGCAAACTCAAAGTATATCAGCCCGGTATATTGTAATGTTGTACTTTGGGAGGTGTTAAAGGAAAACGTCTTCTTGTGTGTATTCCATGCTTATCATCATCTTAATCCTAGTTTACAATTATGAAGAAGCCTATGTTTCTGAGTGGTCCGCCTTATTAGGGGGACATACGAGATTACACCTATTAATTATGTTACATGCTAAATGCTATGCTAATACTATGCTATGCTATAATATATAAGTATACACACTTCAATATCCGTAACCGCAAGTAGGTACGTATTGTTTTAAAATGCGTAGTTAACACGTGCTCTCGTTAAGCGCGTTTACTGGTGGTAGGACCTCTTGTGAGTCCGCGTGGATAGGTACCATCATCCTGCCTATTTCTTCTGTGAAGCAGTAATGCGTTTCGGTTTGAAGGTGGGGCAGCCGTTGTAACTATACTGAGACCTTAGAACTTATATCTCAAGGCGGGTGGCGGCATTTACGTTGTAGATGTCTATGGGCTCCGATAACCACTTAACATCAGGTGGGCTGTGAGCTCGTTTACTCATCTATGCAATAAAAATAAAAAATAAACCTGCCGTACTGTTCCAGTAACAACTACACAAATATACCCGATCCTGTAGACCGAATGGTAAACAGTCGACGTCGCCCTAAACACGTCTTTACGGATCCTTCCGATCCATTAACGGTGCTTTTAGGTACCACAAGCACCGGTCACCGCCCTCGCCGAACCCGTCGCTTGCGACGAAAGGCTCGACTAGTAAATTAACCCATAGACAGCCCACTGAGTTTCTCGCCGGATCTCTTCACTGAGTCGCATTTCCGATCCGGTGGTAGATTCTACGAAGCACTTCTCTTGCTATTTTTTTTTTTTTTTTTTATTGCCCTTGTAGGCAGACGAGCATACGGCCCACCTGATGGTGAGTGGTTACCGTTGCCCATGGACTTCAGCAATGCCAGGGGCAGAACCAAGCCGCTGCCTACCGCTAGGGCCAGTGTTAGCAACGCTCCCGGTTTGAGCCTCGTGAGCTCACCTACACGTTAAGGAGAAGAGGCTATTCGCTCTCAAGGCTATCAGCATAGGTAGGAAAAAAAAAACCAATAAAACAATAATTTCAATTATTCAAAATCAATTTATGTTCAGATGCGGCATAACTATGGAGCAATTGATGAACACGGTCGGCATTCACCCCACGGTGGCCGAGGAATTCACCAGACTCAACATCACCAAGCGCTCCGGCAAGGACCCCAACCCTGCGTCGTGTTGCAGCTAGACACCCCCACCCCCCGCCCGCAGCCACCCCCCACTGAACCATCATTATATCAAGTTAAGGGCACAGAATAAATAAGTGATTAACAAAGTACGCCCTATTTCTTTCTTCAGAACTGTTCGACAAGTATGGATGGCATCTCTACTAAAAGATTTATCATAATTTTCACAACCTATAAAAGTCGTGAATCGCGCTATCGACATTTTCAAGACAAATTCCGAACAAGAACGTTTGGGCAGTCGACGAACTGAACTAAAACATTATTTGAAAAATGTAAACAAGTATTAATAGTTATGTGATTAGTAAAATATTTTGCCACAGCGCATTATCGTCACAGAAGATCCAAAAAATTACAAATATTGTTTTTATTTATATAATGAACAAATCTTTTATCTACCTACAGATTATCTAAAAATAATTTAAAAAAATTGTTTTGTAGTACTATTATAATTAATTACTGAACTAAACGATTCTAATGCCAGTGCGACATCTTGCGGCGTGGGCACGCACCTTCATACGCGTAAGGATACTGTTTGACTGCACTATGTTGTTATTATTTACGCACCAATTGTATTATTGTTGAATGTACTTTAGCTGTGTCATCGATCGGAGGATTTCACTCATCGAACTAATTAAATACCACAGTCGCTATATTGGCGCGCTGTGTTTGCTACTTTGTACAAAATGTTTAATTCAACGTTATCGCCATTTTTGTGTCGACAAATGATTTTGATATGTTTGTGGGTTCAAGTGTTTTCGGTTAAAATATTAAATAGAATAAGAACAGAAGGGCACAGCCCAACGGGGCAACGCCCTGTACTGTTTTTTTGTTTTGGGAACAAAAATTGATCAAATTAAATTTATTTTCTTGTTGTAAGCTTTGGAGTGTTACCAACATTGAAAACTTAATGTGGTGCTGGTTTTGTAAACTAGATGTCGCTGTTAACTTGTGCATGTAACATTTGACTTATGTAGCGCCGTTTGTACATAATTGTTGGTTGTCTATCCAGTCACATTGCTAATGGCGATACTTCTAATTCATTAACTATAGTAGAATTATTTTGTCCGTACAGTTTGGGTCATAAAACATAGCCCGGCTAGGGCGGTGAGCATGTTGCGCGGGCGCAACGCCATTATCGATAAAAACAAATGTGTCATCGAAGGCAGGCACACGGCGGCTGGGTGGTATACGAAGGGTGGTGAGACATTGTTATGTTATGAATCGTTTGTACTTACCTGCAAATTATAGTACATCATGTCGAAGAGAAATGTGCTTTTATGCATTCGTTCTCTGAATTTCTTTAGTGACACAGTGGCTACTCCTTTGTTTTGTATCAAAACGGCAGAATTTATTCAAAATAATATTTGCACATCAACACACACACAACACATGTGTTAAATTTTTTCACTGAAATAAGAATAGTTCCCGAAAAGTTACAAAGTGTTAATTTCTGCCGTTCTCGCTAACTTGCTGCGGCAATATGTGGTGTTAGTGATTTTTTCATTGATTTTTATCACTAACCCACAAAATGACAAAATTAAATACACTATCGACAACGCTTATCGACAACAATAATGCGCATCACTATGCCCGTCCATAAGGCTCGTGAGTGGAATACTCGCTTCACCGCTCCGATTTTTTATGACCCAAACTGCATGGACAAAATAATTCTGCTATAGGTTCAGATTATAAAGATTGTGTATAGTACAAAAATTGTTATCTCGAAATTTTAAAACTAAGTGAGATGTTAAACCGCTGGATTGCTAAATCTGTCGTAGAGTATGTTTTAGAAGAGCTATGATAATTAAACGCACCATCTTTTTATTAAACGCACCTTGGCTACCCCTGTTACTGCCCCCTGTTACTACCATCCCGCCTGTTACTGCCGGTTGTGCCGTTGCTACCGCGTGGTCGCGGCTCGTTCCATATAAATAAGTTAATTTAAAAAGACGTTCCGTCGGGTAATTTTGATTCTCATAAAAAAACATAAATTAAATTTAAAGCCTTTTCTTGCTGACTGTACTATTGTATCAAAATCTGTGAAAACTAAATCCCTTCTATATAGTTACCGTAGCTATCCTTGCCCCGCCTTTCAGATCAACATTCATTGCCTGTTAAAAGTTCAACAATTTGAGATTCATGGTTTAAGTGTAATGCTGGCTTTATGTGGCAGCGCTGTGACCAACACAGTCACAGCGTTCAATGTATTCGTAAACATTACCAACACAACTCTTATCAATATGCATGTGATAATCAAGTTCGTATGATTCCGAAGCTAGACTTTTAAAAATATTTAACCGTCGCGAATTAGAAAGTGTTTTTTATTTCGCTGGTAGTCTAAGAGGCTATTCCGGCTACGTCTGGACGGGTAGGTGAGCTCACTGGTTCAACCTGAGAATATTTGCTAACACTAGTTGTAGCAAAAGCATTGCTTCGCAGAATTTACCGCCGGTTCGCTTTTGGCTTTTGCGCATGGAACAAGACGCAATAAATATTCCACAAAAAGTGAATTAACAGCGTAGAAAATCCAGAGATGTATTTGAATTTCAAAATATCCTAACTATACATGCATTTTAGTTTAAAAATAAGGCGTTGCTAGTACTTACACGGATGATTTATAATGTTACCAGCATTTCGTGAATTGTTAAATTGTGTGGCCAGTTATTTGGATCGGTGGAGCGAATAAAAATGTCCTCATATATATATGTCCAAAATGTTCATAGCTCCTAGATTGGCCAGAAAATTTTGAAAAGGGTAAAAAAAGAGTAAAGTAATAGTAAAAGTAGAGTAGAGTAAAAAGAGTCCACTTTTAAACGCGATGTGCACCAATTATTTGTAACAATAAAGTGTATACTTTGATGAAATAAATAAAAATGATAATTATATTCTTAATTTGTTTATTTATTGATATTATTCACTTAAACTTAATTAGCATTAAATTTGAGTTGTTAAAGTTGAGCATGTGGCGATTCATGTAGTTTTGTTTGGTTTAGCTTACTACTTCACGGCAGAAATGGCAGAGCGGTGGTACCTACCCGCGCGGACTCACAAGACGTCCTAGCACCAGTAAAATAAATGCATTATTATTTTTCTGGTCGAGAACGTATTGCGAGCTTGCACGGGTATGCACCGCCATTTTGCCTATTACTGCCACGAACTAGTTATGGTTACCTGTTTGAAGAATAGAACATTGGAAGTTGTAAAAATACAAATTGTGACTCGGTGTCGTGTGGTTACGTCTGATGACATTGATATTAATATATGTATAACTCCAACCAAGACGTATCGTGTTTTGAGATGCTAATTATCTTGATGAAAGGCATTATATAACTCCAACCAAAACAGATGGTGTTGTACTGCAGTCCGGGTGGTTATCAAGGCGGGTATTGGCACGTCTACGAGCCCGTGGACCGCTCGACACGCGACCCGCGAGCTCGTCAACGCGCCAAGTGTCTACAGCTTATGGTCCGTCGTTGATGGTGTAGTAGGTCATTTCGAAGTTGGATTCGCAGTCGAACCATATCTGTGCGGTCGGGAGCGGGTAGTACTCGTGTGCTCGGACGAGGTTGTTATCAAAGCGCCAAAAACGAGGACCTTGGAAGAAGAATGTGTCTGAAACGTAATACTTTTGATTATAATCAATTATGCCTAAAATCCGAATAGGTTTTCAGTTTTCTGCCACGCACAGTAAATCTCTGGAATTCGTTGCCATCAGCGGTCTTCCCCAACAACTGCGACATTGGGTTATTCAAGAAAAGAGCATATTCTTATCTGAAGGGTAGGCAACGCACTGGCGTAAATGCTGGTGACCGTGGGCGGCGGTGAATCACTTACCATCAGGTGACCCGTCTTGCTCGTTTGCCTCTTAGTTGTTATAAAAAAAAAAAAGGTAGTTGTGGACTTTTTTTATTGCATCGATGGCTGGAGTAGCTTACAGACCACCTGGTGTTCAGTGGTTACTGGAGCCCATAGACATCTACAACGTAAATGCCGCCACCCACCTTGAGATAAGAGTTCTAAGGTCTCAGCATAGCTACAACGGCTACTCGCCCTTCAAACCGAAACGCATTACTGCTTCACGGCAGTAATAGGCAGGGTAGTGGTAGCTACCCATGTGGACTCACAAGAGGTCTGGAAATCAGTCAAAATATTTCACTGGTAAAATTTATCTGAAAAATTTATTGTTACCTTCTTTCCAAACAATAGCAGCATCGACAGGGTACGGTACGTCCCGCCATGTCGACATATCCTTTGGGTAATCTTCATCCATCGTACCGGTTAGTTCGTCGTACCGCCAATACCTTTCCTCCTCGATCAGATATGTCCTGTTGTTGTAATTGGATATGAACACTGTGGTCAACTCTGTAACGTTGTCCGGGATGGAGTAATCCGTGAGAGAGCCACGCCTCATCAGACGGAATGACGGACTGAACTCCCAGTATTTGTTTTCTGAAATTAATTTTACTTTAATGAATTGGCAAAGAAGGTATAACAAACATTACGCGGTTCAGAATACATTTTTCCGTTTAGTTAGTGACAATGGCGCCTAATTCAGTTTGCTTTTTTTCCTTAATATTTTTTTAATACCTAAATTATAATTTATTTGTTCGAATTGTCATGTAGGTACCTGAAAAGACGACAACGTTCCGATCGTGTTTCTCATAGATGGTCCGTATAACTTTGATGCTGGACGGGAGACCAATGAAAAGCTCATGGAATCTCTTCGGGTACCCGGGCTCTCTGACGTTTCTATCACGAAGAACTGTGACCCACTGGAACAGATAAAATGTATAAATACGTAAAATTTTATGTGATAATGTTACAAGCAGTTTGTGAAGACTGCGTAGCCAAAGGATAAGACGCCCGGTACATTCGTATCGAACGATGCAACTGTGTCGATGTTGTAACCGTATTAAGCTACAAGTCATTCTATATGTATATAGATTCATTCAAGCAGCTGCTGCTGAGTTGTAAGATCTCCTTCGGAGGCGCTCGGTTAGCTGTTAGTAAATCCCACCCCTCCTGGCTGAGCCTTGCTCGCCCAGCTGTCCTGGTGAAACTGGGCTACCAGTAATCCTTCAATCATAAAAAACAAATCTATGTGTACTTTTTTGTGTTTGAGTGGGTTACTAGATGATTTAGAATTACAATTTGCCCTACATCAGTAGGTAGTGGTGTAATGGGACTCTAGATTTTATTATTATTTTCAGATAGGACATCTGTCGCTAGTTGCTTTAAAAGTATTGGTGGGGTCGACATAGCTAATTTTTCTGTTCCATTCTCTTCTATCAGCCGTCATCTCAACACTCACTCCTCTCTCTCTCATATCGTCATTCACACACTCTATCTATGTCTTCTTCAGTTGACCTCTTCCCCCTCTACCTTGCACTACAATTTCTATACATTTCCTAGCCACATGCATCTTCTCTCTACGCATCACATGTCCATACCGGGGCTACTTTCACATTTCCTTTCATATACTCATTCTTTATCTTGTCCATTCTTATCACTCCACACATCCATCTCAATATTCGCATTTGTGCCGCATGCACTTGCTTTAAAACTATTCTTCTTCTATATCGTTCTCTCACTACTGAGGATCGCGACCACATCTGACGTTCTTCCACTGTGTTCGATCATGGGTGGCATGGACCGCATGGTACAGACTACCACCAAGTGCTTCCCTTACTAGGTCTGACCATCTGACTGGTGTTCTGCCCACGACGCGCTTGCCCTCTATGCGACCCGTAATTATGAGCTTTTCTAATTCATGTCTGGGGACCGCATGATGTGTCCGAAGAAGCTCATAACACTAAAACTATTGCAACCTCTAAATACCTCTACCTCTACCTCTAAGTATCAGCTAAGTACCTCTTCTTCGAACACGTATATCTTGCCGTGTATGACTTGCAAGGTGTCGTAGTTGGTCATGCATAGGTCGGGCGCGTCATCGAACTCCTCGCTGTCCGTCTTTGTGAACCTGGGCGCCTGCGACGACCCTACCGTGCGCTCGGTGCCCTCTGATTCTTCAGAACCTTTTACGTTTACTGTCAAATCAAACGGGAACTTAAACTAATAAAAAAATCTTTTATAATAAACGTTACATACTATAGTGCACGCGGAACTTGTTGGCCGCGCCTTAGCTGGCGACAGGGGTGAGGGGGTGGGTTGCCTATTGCACGTAACGCACATAGGATTAGACAGTGATGACTAAATAAAAAATGAATAAATGAAATAATAAATAAATAAAATACAATTGAACTTGTAGAAATTTATATTGTACTTATCTAAATTATATTATAATTAATAGTAAAATAAACCAAAAACAAATTACGTATATAAAATTATTCTGACATATTTTAATGATATATCAAATTACTTAATATACTTATATGAAGTTACTCTGACGTATCCTCTGAATGACTTGATTCTGAACTCTCTGAACTTGATTCAGAATCATCTTGTAAGTTTATAATGATTTCGTCTATCATAGTATCAAATCTCATATCAGTAATGAGCAAGCGCCCCCGCCTCTGCGTCCCACCGCTCACATACCTAAGGCGCGGCCAACTAAAAAAGAAGAAGAAATTCAAAGCTTTACTCTGCTAGAGTTGCGTAACAGATCCCGTCTATTCTAGCATGAAAATTTACACTGCTGTTTCAAGACAGTGCCAGTAAGTCCTGAAATCTATTGATTTATTCGATCACTGTCCGCGGACATCAGTTATGCTGGCTAGTCACCGAGAAGCCTGCTCGTTGTAGCGAATGTCGAAACACATAATTTCTTCGCGGCAGAAATACTAGGCTAGGTATGGTCTACACCATTTAGCACATAACAAAGAAGAGAGCCATGAAGGAAAATAAAACGAGGATCATAGTAAGAAGTCCAGTACTTCCAAGAAACCGGCGCTTAGCCACATTAGGTGAAATTTAATTTCCAAACCATAAACTCACAGTACAACTCTTGCATGCCCAATATGTCGTCCACGTGTAGCTTGTCAACGGGCAGCTGATAATATGGATACATAACAGAAGATTTGACGTTAGAATGTGACATGCCCAGAGAGTGTCCGATCTCGTGGACGGCCACCGCGAAGAAGTCCGTGATGTCTTCTTCTCCGTCTTCAGATATATCAGACTCAACTCCCCAGGTTTCGTCATCATCAAAATGTATATCGCCGAGTGGCGGTGGAAACGCGTGGGCCACTACTCGACCAGGGCCATCGAAGGGGAACCTGGAATCATCGCTATTGTTGACTTCACACCTATATTAGATGACGAACTGTGTGTTTCGTGCGAGTTTTTTAACGTTCTCGATAGCGTAAAAGTTAACCCAATTTTGTATGCAGTTGGAACAGCGCCCCTAGCGGCAAACGTAGGCAAACGATTCCATTCCATACATCTATACATATAAATAAAATTGGAGTGTCTGTTTGTAATATTGAAATAACCGCTTTTTACTACATGCATACGAATATATATACACCAAAATAACATTTTTTACAATTTTTGACTGTCTGTCTGTTTGTTCCGGCTAATCTCCGGAACGACTGGACCGATTTTGACGAGACTTTCACTAATCGGTAGTTGATGATATAAGGAGTAACTTAGGCTACTTTTTTTAGACTAGCTTTTTTTAGACCGCGGCGTCACTCGCGGTACGACAATAACCGCTGGTAGCATCGCGAGACTGAGCTATTAATAATAAAATTTAATGTTTCCGAAGCGAAGCGAGGGCGGGTCGCTAGTTACAAATATGAGCTAACCGATACGAAAGCGATCCCAAAAAGCGGAAATGTAAATGAAAAAAAACAGTTATTTTGATTTGTTAATTCATTTAAATAATTTTCCATGTTCATGCTTAGTCGTTTTGGATGCGCTTGTACCTCTGTCTGGATCGAAGAGCTTATACAAGCTCACACAAACTAGTTATTAAAATAGACTTTACCGTTATAATGTTCCTACAATTTAGACTTAGACCTCATGTTTTAGGGTGAAGCAAAATTCACGTAGTGATGTCGAAGAGCTTCGATTATCAATTCAAACCAAATAAACCGTGAACTCTTTCCCCCTTCAAAGCAATAAGTAAATGAAAGCCAAAATCATGAGAAGTTGACAATCTAATCCAGCTTTGGCGCCAGGAGGGGGTCACATAGTCGTGGGCAAGTTAAGAACTTATAATTTAATTTTGATAACAATAGATAATAAATAAAACATGATGTTCTTCAATTAGTCCAAGTTAGTTCAAGTCCTGGAACTAGCTAAGGGGGGGGGGTCATGACCCCCATGACCCCCCCTTGGATCCGCCGTTGAATCTAATAGTGTTTTGAAAATTGTCGTTTTCCACTATATATTATAGGTACATACTAGCGACCCGCCCTCGCTTCGAAGCTTATTATTAATTTCTCCACAATTTAATGGATGTTATTATACATATAAACATTACTCTAACAATCACTCTATCTATTAAAAAAAACCGCATCAAAATCCGTTGCATAGTTTTAAAGATTGAAGCATACATAGGGATATAGTTTCGTTCACGATTGACTTCCACGGTGAAGGAATAACATCGTGTAATAGAAATCAAATTCGCAAAATTATAATTTGCGTAATTACTGGTGGTAGGACCTCTTGTGAGTCCGCACGGGTAGGTACCACTCGCCTGCCTATTTCTGCCGTGAAGCAGTAATGCGTTTCGATTTGAAGGGTAGGGTAGCCGTTGTAACTATACTGAGACCTTAGAACTTTTATCTCAAGTTGGGTGGCGCATTTACGTTGTAGATGTCTATGGGCTCTAGTAACCACTTAACACTAGGTGGGCTGTGAGCTCGTCCACCAATCTCAGCAATAAAAAAAAAAATATATATAGGGACAGAGAAAGCGACTTAGTTTTATACTATGTAGTGATTTACTGTTTTTGTTCACAAATGGCCCGAAACGCTGTTAATTATTATTACGCTACATTCTAATTAAACAAAATAGTTACAGCGTACCCGTCTCCATGGTTGCCGGAAGCGAAATAAACTTGTATGTCCGCTTTGCCTTCATCTAGTTTCGTGAAGTGGAGGTTCCCGTGGGGCGCCCATACCTCCAAACCATTCTCTAGAAGCCTTTCTATGCGATCCTTGCTCATTGTACTTGAACCATTCAGGAGTCTGGATTTAAATTTGAAAAAACATATTTATGTTACAGTTTTTAGCAATCTAGATTAGACAGATAGGTGCTCCGCAGTAAAAAAAATTTAAGATTAGATATGAAACACAGGATGTTTTTCTTAAGCACGCTTAGTTGTAGGTTATAAAAAATGTTTTACATGAGGGGCTATTAGATTAGAAATATCAAGTTAAATTTTCAAGATGTATGGAACAAAATTTCTAGACATATTGGTATATTTTTATATACGACCACTTTACTACAAAAACTGTTCTTTCTCTCTCTCTTTGCCTTAAACCTATAAACTCGGTCCTCGACATATTTATTAGTAAGTAGAAATACAAAACTACCGTACATGGAAGTTTTGGAGCGATCACTGTGTGTGGGAATTAGGAAATCGCTCCAAAGCATCTAACCGTTGCTAGTTTTTCTGTTGTGGAAGAGATTGCTGGCATTGTTGCTTGTCAATTCAATGAAGCTGCTGTTGCCCATTTGCTACGGTTATTCTACACATTATTGAAGACGAACTTAATAATTTAGCGCACGAATTTGCTCAAGAACATGATGGAAATCGACTACTCAAAGCCATAATGAGGATTTATAAAACATAAATTAGGCAAAAACGGCTAGAATTTTTTTGATGATTTTATGAACCTAATCTATTTGAATTCCAATTTTATGAGTACAGATAGACACTTGTCTTTAAAAAAATTAAATACTCGTAGAATCAAAAGGCTTTTAATTAAATATTTGATTCGTTCAAATCTAATCTTATTAATTCCAATCACGTTTATTTTATTCTTGTTTTTGGCAACTCTGTTAATATAACAGCCACAAATGTCCACACAATTTATCTTATTTTAGTATTTATAATATCTATAAATAAATAAAAAATACCAATAAAATTTTAAGCCTTTCAATTATACAAATTGAAATATTTTCAAAATTGATGACCAATCTTAAAGAGTATTTTTTCGAGGTTTTGGTCACTTCAAGTTTATGGTGACTAAGTTCGCTTTCGCACATAAAGGCATTAAATTATAAATTTATTGAAAGTGCACACCTGTAAGTGACCTCGCGTTTATTCCATCCTTCTTGTATAATATATCTGCGATTTCTTGCGTGCGAGTCTTCATCTATATCTTTCAAACCGCATCTTTTTCTTTTGAATAACTGAAAAATGAAATTATTTTTGTTCTTTAATGAGAATGCTTTGAATTTTCGTCAATTAGGTATTTTTTACAATAGAGATTAGACTGGAAATAAATGTATTGCTAAAACATCGGTTTCCATGAAACTATTTGTATGAATTATTTTCTATTTTTTATTGCTTAGATAGTGGACGAAGCCCACCTGGTGTTAAGTGGTTACTGGAACCCATAGACATCTACAACGTAAATGCACTACCCACCTTGAGATATAAGTTTTAAGGTCTCAGTATAGATAGTTATAACGGCTGCCTCACCCTTCAAACCGAAACGCATTACTGGTTCACGGCAGAAATAGGCGGGGTGGTGGTATACCTCACAAAACGTACTATCACCAGTATTTACGCAAATCATAATTTTAACTTATGTTATAAATTCTGATTGATATCATATGAAGTGATATCTAATGACTTGAAACAAGCTTTACGAGTCGCCAGTTGAAAGATTTTGCTGTTAATATCTACCAGGAAAGATCTATCTAACCTGTTTAGTTGGTACATCTAGTACTCCTGTTTGTGGTAGCCCTGCGAAGGCCTGCATTTTCTTGACAGCTTCGGAAATAGATTGTGACGTGTAAGTGTAGCCAACTCCGGCCAAATCTTTCGATAAGTATCCATATTGTAGCAAAAAATTAACCTGAAGAGTAAAATATTAAAATTTGAGATTCTACATTTTTTATGTATGTAGATTAATTAATTCTAATTTTTAGGAGAACACTCCTGTTGGGAAGCGAGATAACCCACTGAGTTTCTCGCCGGATCTTCTCAGCGGGTCGCTATTCCGATCCAGTAGTAGATTCTGCGAAACACAGCTTTTACTAGGGCTAGTGTTAGCAAATTCTCTCAGGTTGAGCCCGTGAGCTGACCTACCAGTCTGAGCATAGCTGGACTAGACTCTTAGGCTATCAATAGGTAGGGGGGAAAAATTTGGAAGTGGCTGTTTATGTCCTAAATTGTTAGAGTACGAGATTTTAATTTATAGAAGTTATGCACTGATTAAAAAAAATATTCTGTATTTGTGTGAAACGTTTTTTTTCGTTCACATCGGCTTCAGTAGTGGTTATATTAACTTATATTAAGCAAAGGCTTGTTCCACATGACGTCTGTGACGTAATTAACTAGAAAATCGACGTTAACAATTAATATCATCTTCTATAATTGCGTATGTTATAGTACGTATAGCTCGTGATATATACGTCACGAAAGATTTAATTAAACGAGAAAAGTATTAAATGAATTATATATTATTATGTTAAAAACATAGTTTAAAGCTGGTTTTAAACATGCGCAATAAGCCGTATTGTTGTTGTGGACAACAAAGTATTCTTAAAGCTAACACTTCTTAACCTACACAGAATTTTTTTTATCAATATTTTTCAACAGTGACCTATTTCCAAGACTTATTAATGTCCCACGTTATATCACATATATTATTGTATTAACACTCTTCACAAACCTCGTCAAGCGTAGGGGAGTTTAGCTCCAAATAAATGGTTCTACACTGCACCAAACTGATGCACAAAATTTGAAGTATGTAACTGGAAAGCATTGTGTCGGAGTACTGAATACAGTCATATATTTTGTATCTGAATGTATCGCATTAATACGACCTTTGACACTCAGATAATGTTACAATTCTCGCAATGGAGTGGTGAATGAACTTCTACGGGAAAAACTCTTGAATCATGCGATGCAGAGCAATGAGTTGTATTGCGATATTTGTTATGATAGTGTTTTGTTTTTATTAAATTAATGTGCATTACGATGTACCTACTGATTCTTGGACATAGTCTCAGCGGCAGCTAACTGAGTGATCAATGCATTCTGGTATAACATACGTGCTCTATTTAATCATTGACCACCATAAAGCCACTCGGGGTTTCTAAAGGTATTCCGTTTTTGCTGTAAACAGTGTTTTATTAGACGAAATTTTTTTATGTAGGCTCCTATTCAGCGAATTCAAGCTCACCCTAAATTCAGTTTAGAATCCAAGAAATCCGCAGTTCTTGGAATTGAGGTGGAGGATAATTTACTAGAATTTTCTTCACTTGTCGCTGTCGTAGATATTATTATACCTACTTTTGCGGTTTGTAATTCGCGATTAAACTGTAAAAGTATTTTTAATTCTGAGGATATATGCAAGCGAAACCAGTGTGCCGGATTAACAACAAACACTTCCCTATTTCCGCATGTAGTTACACCATATTATCAAAATGTAACTTTCATTAAAAACTATAAATAACTATTGTTAATGTCACTAGTTATTTAGCTATTTATTCAAAACTCAGATTTACAATTTGTTGCAATGTCATTCCTTGACGTCTGTTCTTATTGATTTTAGTGTTTACTTGACATTATCAAATTTGTTATTTAGCGCTTTAAATTGATATTAATAAAATGGAATCTAAAGCTATTGGAAAGGTGATGTCTCTACCCAATATTCGTGATAGTTCTGCGGAATTAGGACGTGGTCGCTTGTACAGCATGTCGCTCTCGCAAATCAAGAAATATTCGGAGTCGTCTGTGGAATTCCAACATAAACTGTCACCTTTTGTAAGTCTGTTGAGTAATTTTAAAATAATGAGATTTAGCAGCTTGTCGTAAAGCTTGGCTAACTTGTTCTGTTTATCAATGAACGCCTGATTGGATTGGTTTGAGGTGGCATTACATTGCGTTGTCCATCAGCTACAGTTAGTGGTTAGAAGCTCCGCTTGGAGGCTATGGGTGAGATATCTTAAAGTAAATCGACTAACTTAAACATGTGACGTCTGTGTAATGCTGATAGACATGATAGTTACATCTATCCATACAATTTTTTATTTTATTTTTTTATTGCATAGATTGGTGGACGAGCTCACAGGAACGTAAATACCGCCACCCACTTTAAAATTTATACAATTCATAGTTTTGTAAATTTTACTTGTATCTCTTTTATTACAAACTGCTAACCTTCATCATGACCGTCATGGACGTGGCTTAGGGTGCATACTTCCATAGAAAAAATCGTATCTGCTGGATTTGATCTTCAGCAAGATCGTTAGTTAGCAGTCCACGAGTGCAATTACATTTTTCTTCTCCATCGCTCCCTCATTACTGAGGATCGTGACTCCGTTTCAGCTTGTTGACTGCCAGCCTCCATCGGTTCCGGTCAGTTGCCTGGTGTAGTGCAGCGCTAAGTGATCCGCTGGTTTGCTCGAAGATCTGGTCGGACCAACGTTTAGGGCTCCGGCCTCTAGGTCGTTTTCCTTCTACTTTTCCAGTGACCATCAGACGTTCCAAGTTATCTACACCTCTGCGGGCAACGTGGCCAAAGTAGCGCAATATGCGTTGCAGACAGGTGGTAGACAAGCGTTACATGTGCAATTACATACATTTGACAAATCTTAGATAAACGAAAAACGACAAACGCTCTTAGCATTCTGTTTTTTTGGTAGAATTTACGTTGGATCCACGGTTACAACCCGAAAGTTGGCGTCATCAATTTGAACAACAATGGCAGCACTTCTATGTTTTACGCTGCTTCGAACTGCGGCGTGATTTACAACTGGACAGTCAATCAGATGAGGATACTTCAAGGACACGTAAATAATTTAAAAAAATATGTACCTATATAATACTACGAGTTTTTAGGAAAGACAAGCGGAGCCATTTCATAACAGAAAGAGAAATTACCTATTAGAACAAAAAAAACATTCTTCAGAATAACTGTGAATGGCCAAGCGACATTAATAATTGCGTTATTTTAACTAGTGTTTATAGAATTTGGAATATATTTAAGGAAAAATAAAATAAAATTTCATGAATTAAATAGTAAGCGTGAAATGAAGTCTTGAATGAGAATGACCTGTCGTTTCGCAAATTCGGTCTTAGTTTAAAATTTGCTTGGTGATCGCAAGCCTTGACTTCATTCTTAAGTTAAGAAGACTCCTGCTTCAAATGGATATAAACGAACATAGACATTCAGCGCATCCATACTTTCCTATAAACAGTCTATTAGATCTTTGTTACGAGGACCGTGCGACCCACGAACCATCTTATGCAATAAAATAAAAATAAATAACCTCAAGGTAACTTGCGGTCGCAGTGATACCCCCACAGACACAGGCCACTGAGTTTCTCACCGGATTTTCTCACTGAGTCGCGATTCTGATCTGGTAGTAGAAGCTGTGAAGCACTGCTCTGGCTAGGGTTTTTTTTTATTGCTTAGTTGTGTGGACGAGCTCACAGCCCACCTGGTGTTAAGTGGTTACTGGAGCCCATAGACATCTACAACGTAAATGCGCCACACACCTTGAGATATAGTTATATGGTCTCTGTATTGTCACAACGGCTGACCCACCCTTCAAACCGAAACGCACTACTGCTTCACGGCAGAAATAGGCGTATAGTTATAATAGTTAGTATTAGCAAATTGTCTCAGGTTGAGCCCGTGAGCTCACTACCCTTCCAAGCGTAGTTGGAATAACCACCTAGGCTACCAGTGAATAGGTACGGAAAAAAAGTGAAACTTTCGGAAATGTTCTGTTTCATACTCCCGCAGGCTAAATCGTTTAGAAATATATGTTTTCTGTTATTGTCTTTTTAGTATTATGGGCGCCATAAACACACACAAGATATTCCATAATTCCACAGAGACACATGATCAGCTGCATATCATCAGATCGACAAGGCAAATGGCTGGTGACCGCCGATTCTGGTCCAGAGAACGTCATAATAATCTGGGACAGCGTTGATTACTTCCCTCAAAGGACAATATTTTCGCCGCTCGGAAAGACCAAAATATCGAAAGTTGTCATGAGTGCAGATGCGAAATATCTCCTGTCACTGGGTTACTCCGAGAAGACTACTTTGAATTGGTGGGATTGGTCTTCTGGACTCGATGACCCTGATGGTTAAATAATTTATTAATAAATAGAAATTAATATAATACAAAAGATAAGGTCGTGGTGGCCTAAAGGGCAAAACCCCTATTGCATTCCTATCAAGAGACTGTACCGGTGTTCAAATCCCGCTGGAAACAATGTTTCTAATGAAATATGTACTTAGCACACGTTCGATGATGACTTTCATCATCTTTGTTAAGTATTATAATAAGTATAAATGAACGAATCACGGCTGCACGTCTCAGTTTCGAAGGACCGTGAAGGAATTACGGTCTAACGATGCGTCGTCGAAGAGTTGAAGATCCATTTATTGTCCAACCATTGTCCACTAGAGGTCCCAACGAGTTGAGTGAAATACCACTGGCTGTTTGGCGAAATACAGTATAATCTATATGTCATTTCCGTTATATTTTTTCCCTACCTATTTGCTGGTAGCTAGCTATTCCAGCTATTCCCGGACTGGTAGACTCAACTTGAAATAATTTGCTAACACTAGTTTCACAAGAGCAGTGCTTCGCAGAATCTACCAGCGGATCGGAATCGCGATCCACTGAGAAACTGAGTATGCTAATTCCGTTATATTTTATGTAGGTACAGTCAAACCTGGATAAGCGAGAGTTCAAGGGAGCACAATCTCATTCTCGCTTATAGAGGTTTCTCACTAACCCGAGTTTCTCGCTAATGCTCCCTCTAAATTTCGATTCGCGATTTTCCGCATTCAAATGCATTCACTATTTTAAGTTTATGACTTTAATGACAGTACTTTAATTTTTCGTTTTTACATGATGCAGAACAGAACTTTCCTTCGCAATTGATTAACGATAAACTGAGCAAGTCCGACAAACAGGACGATACACAGGCACACGTGTCCATTCGAAAATAATGCGATAAAAGAATACGATAAAATAACAACGTTATTTAGTTCCACGAAATAGAATAGGTTCAATATTGACGAGAAAACAATTCAAAAACAATGATAAGAAGTTCCACGAAAGTTAAAAATGAGTCATAAAATAGCAGATGTTAAATTTGTAATTTGTTTTGACATTTGTTCCTCCTAAATAATATAAATAAATAAATAAAGCTCGGCTGTCGCTTATAGAGGTATAGATAGGTAGCAGTCTCACTTACGGAGGTCCATGAGGAAAAAACGACTCTCTCTTACAGAGGTTTCTGTTTCTCGCTAATAGAGGTTTTGGGAGCTTAAAATTACGGGTCCTTGCTATTACTCTCACTTATAGAGTTTTCTTACTTATCCAGTTCTCACTTACCCAGGTTTGACTGTATATGTTTTGGAATTTTTCTCTCAACTCGTTCAAATAATTCCACCAATTAGCATTACAAATATTTATTAGTAACTGTCTTCGGGATGTGAACACCGATACAGATGCTTCGCTTGATACGACTGCACCGAATTAATATTAATTGATTTAATAATCCTTTACGCCAAGACGACTCCAAAGCGTTTTAAAACGAATCTCGGAATTTTTTTGTTCGTTTTACAACGTCTTAAAGTTTTAACATTTCAATGACGTCACATCACAATAGTCTACAACACAAATACAGTTTAGAGATTTTAAAACATCCAATAGTACCGTACTTATTATCATTATATTTTCAGCCACACTCGACATTGACATACCTCGCGACGGAGTGATCGATATGG